CTGAAGGCCCTAAGTATTATGAGTCTCCTGGTAAAAGTCACAAGACTCAGCAAACAATGCTGCCAAGCTTTTGGCAGTGAGCAGGTATCCTGCAGAGAGGATATTTCAGCAGAGCAGGCTGGGAATAGGGAATGTGGCTCCTGAAGTCTGGCCCCAGCAACTACTTACTGTCATTAATGAGAGAGGATTTGTATGTCCGTGCCAGACAGGAGAGCAGGCACCTGTCCCCTGATAGAAGCAGCAATTAATCCCATCTGCATGGGGCAGATATTTAATCACTCGGAGGCCAGCGGGGGCACTGGTGGGAGATAAGAGCCACAGGCTTCCTGGGTGTCCCCTGAGCCTCGTTTGATTGTCCCTGCCTTGGGAACAAGTTTGTCATCTGAAGCTGACTCTCCCTTATGCCCCAGTGGATTGCTCCCCTTCCCTTGAGCTCAGTCTCCGTTTTGGGATGAGTTTTGGGGTAGAAACTCCCACTGGAACCCATTTTCTTCTGCTTGGCAGCCGTCAGTCACCAGCTGCAGAGCACAATAGACTGGGGAAAGTGTTCTGGGGCTCCTGTGAGGACCTGCCCTGCCAGGCAGGGGGGTTTTAGAGACATCTTTGCCACTCTCAGCTGGCAGCAGAATGAAGAGATGGTGTCAAATAAAATCAAGAAGGGTTTTTCAGGAGGTGGATAACCTGGCCCTGAGCCAGGCAAAGGACTGGCAGAGGGGAGCACACAAGAGCTGCCTGGCCATGGGCAGGGTTGGGTGCACTCATCTCCATGCACAGAGGAACGCATGTTGTCAGATTTACTCATATTTCCTCAGGAGTCCATATATTTCAGGGCACACTGCATTCCCTCCCTGAGGAACTCCAATCCTCCTCAGGAGTCCATATATTTCAGGGCACACTGCATTCCCTCCCTGAGGAACTCCAATCCCAGGATAACCATACCTGGTGGGAAGCAGCTGAGCAGAATTCCATGGTGCCAACAGACAGACTTGACCATGGACTAAGCACAGCTGCAGGTCTGCAGGAATTGCTTATTTAAGAATAAGCAAATTAAAACTTAGTTTACTTTCTGGAGAGATGGAGTTACTTTCTGTTAAACACAACAGTAAGTATTTCCTGATTGGGGATTTGAGTTTATCTTCCTTTCCAGCTGTTTCATGTGCTGAGCATTTTTGTAAACCAGATGTCTCAAACAGCCTCTTGGCCATAGAAGCCTGCAACCTGTAGCCTGTTTGAAATCTTGATTTTCTCCTCTCAGTCTCATTTTCCCGCCTTTGTAAAACACTGCTAATAATACATCCTCACCCATGGAAGAGGTCACTGAGAATTCATTAACTGGTATTTGTAAAGCACTTTGAAAATGCAAAGCCAGTGCATTATTCCTACTCTTCTGGATGCTTTCCATGTTATTAAAATCAGGATTTCAGAAAGGCTTATCTGGGATCAAAACAGCATCCCAAACTTGAAAGGAAGCAAGACTGTTAAACCATCAACCAGTCACCTCCCCCTGCAGCCAGATGTTAAGCCCTAAAGAACTGAAGTGGCACAAGGAATTACTTTCCCAAGTTCCCCCAGCTGGGCTGACAGGCCTTGATCAATGGTTTTCTCCACGGTGAGGGCTATGCAGATGGTCTGCCCAGAGCAAGGTTTCTGTGGAGTACAAAGGGAAGTCAAACACCATTTCTAATTCAGCTTGTAGCATGGCACACTTCCTTTATCCTGCGCCTGAATGCCCTGAATGGGAGAGCAGTGTGGGAAACTGGAGGAAACTCCACACTCACCATGGCTGCGGGGCTCTGAGACACCCCTGTCCTCAAACCACATCTGCCTGTGACAGGCAGGGGGAAAGGAGTGACAGATCGAAAAATCAGATTATAAAACATGCATGGAGGGAAAGTAAACCATGAGGAAAAAGGAAAAATAGGGAAGGAAGCTGTGCAGGCAGACAGAAATTGCACCAGCCAAGCAGCAGAACAGGGAAGGACAGGGAGGGAATGCAGAGAAGGGTTAGGAGGAAAAACAGGCAGGAGCTGTGAGGAAATGAAAGGGAAAGGAGCTCACAGCAGAATCTTGCTCATCCACCAGTCAGGCCAAAGGCAACTGTCCCACTGGAAGTGGCAGAGGTGGGTTAGATTGCACTGAGAATTCTCAGCCACATCCTCTGTTTGCCTCTTTAACTCCCCAATCTGTCCAATACGTCCAAGGAAACACAGGTCCACATTCCTGTGGACCATGAGAGTATTGTGAGAGTTTTGTATGACCCACATGGAGCTATGGGAGCTGAGCCTGGTTTTTAAGAAAACTCAGTCAGGTTTTATACTAGCAATACCAGGCAGAGGAAAGAAATGGGAAACAACAGATCCAATTCTTGTTTTGGTATTTGGCAGGAGAAAATGCAATTTTTGATTAGGTTTAGATAAATTCTGAGGTAGGTGTGGAGGTAATTTGTATTTACAAGTTTACAGAGATCAGGAAATAGCTCCAGAGGTACAAAATCTGCAGAGCAAATCTTGGAGACTGAATTATCTCTTGGCCTCAGTGGGGATCCCAGAAAGGCCCTTGGGATTGGACCAATTTTATTTTCCCTCAGGATGCTCTGCAGGACTTGGCACTAACTAAATAGCCCACATTTTGCTGTCTTTCCTGTTCCCAGTTCATCTCTGCCCCTGCTCCCTTCTGAATTACTTACTAACACGCGGCTGTGGAAGTCTGCCTACTCCAGAGTTTCCCACACCATTCCTTAGCTATATTCCCTCCTGTCACAAAGGAAGTGTGCCTGACTACAAACCACATTAGCAACGGTGCTTGGCTCTGCTTTGTGTTCAGTGGAAAACCCCTGCTCCCAAAAGGCCATCTGGTTAGCATGGACTGGGAGCAGGGAGCATCTCTCCAGACTTGGGAAAACAGCAGTATCCTTAAGGCTTTCTAAAGGGTTAACATCTGGCAGGGATTCTGGGGCAAGGCTGTTGTTGATGTCCTGTTTCAAACACCCAGATCCAGTATTTTGGGATCCTAATGAGCTTTCTGTCCAGTAGTGTGTGTGTTTGGAATAGATGTGTAGTTCCAAATTCATTCTTTCTCATATAAACTCCACAGACTCTGCAAACTTTATAACAGGGAGGAATTTTTGTTACCACTTTAGTTAGGATTTCCAGCCAAAGCAGAGCATCTATTTTGGGCAATTAAGCATCTAATTTGAGTACCTCTTCCAACTCGGGCTGTAATTGGATAATTTTTCTTCTCAGAACTTGTGCAACCAAAGAGAAAATAAAAATGTTTTTATTTCCAATTCTTTAAAATTTGTGTTAAATTTAAAATTTACAGAGCGGGGATGTAGGAACCTCAACGGATTTCCCACCCAGGTGAGATTTTGGTAAGTTCACCTCCCAATAATACATTGAATATTGTAATTCTTATTATCACACCCAGTTTAAGTATGTAGGGCTTCCAGCCTCTCCAGCAAAAGTGGAACACCACAGAAAATTATTTTGCGTTCAGTCTCCTCAGGTGCAGGCTCTGGGTTAGTTTGGATGCTGGTGGAGAGGAGATTCTGAGCACTGACCCCTTGACTATGCCAGTGCACAACCACTCCCAAGTGCAAGGAGGGTGAGGTTGGCATGACTGTTCCCATGAAATTAATGTAGTTTTTATCAGGGTGTTGAGTGGAGAATCAGAGGAAAGCAGCAAGAGAGAAACAGCAATTGTCTCTAGCAACACTACCCTCCCTATCACAGGACTGGCACTTCTTCATGTGCTCAATTAATGAGCTGGAGAAATGAGACCCAGCTCCAGAGTTTCTGTTTCAGGAAACCTCCCCAAGAGGGATGCACAGAGGACAAGATTGGTTTCAGAGGTGGCATTATATGGGCTCAGAGATAATCCACAGGCTTTGAGGAGAACATGTGAAACAGTGTCACAAAAGCTTTCCCACAACTTGACATAAAAGACCCAGAGCTCAACAGCTGCTGCTCTGTGCCGATAGAAGGGAGCCCATTCAGGGCAGCACAATAGGGATGGAAAAGCAGAGCCTAGAAGAGGTCATTGAAGCCTTACCTGGTGCACCAATAATGAGCTGCAGAGTGAGAGAGAAATGTGTCCCTGTGCCCGGAGTGTGTGTGTTCACATTAAAGACCCTGTGTGACCACACACACTCGTTAATGTAAAGGTGAACACACCTACACACATATGAATGCAAATACAACTGGTATTTACTCACTACAGTAAGAACTCCACAAACATAAGCCCTGAAATTACTTGATGGATAAATTGCTGGCAGATCTGGTTCAAGTTTTCCAACAGGAATCCCTGGCTGTGCTTTTATCAGAGACTGTCAGCTCTCCCAGGTGCAGGTACCTCCTGAGCACAGGCTGTGCATCAAGCACAGCAACTGGCCCAGGGGAGAATAATGAGGAATCAGGAATTTGATTTCTAATAAGTTTATGAAGATATAAATATCTGCTGCACCCAGTTTTCCTTTGTTTACAGACTAAATTAAAATAATTACAGTAAAATATGTTTTGGGGAGGAAGTAAGAGGCAGCATATGATACTGAACTAATCCTGAAACAATCCCAAGACCCTTCTCCACAAGTATTTGTCTTGCAGGTATTTGGAAACAGAAACATAAAGTGCTTATGACTTGGCTTGAGAGTTTTCTAAAGGGCTGCATAAGGTACTGAGGGTAGGGAACAAGGATCAAACCAGAAAATGTTTTCAATAATTGTGTGCACTTAAAATTAAATGCTTTTATTTCCAATGAGTCAAAGCGGGAAAGCTGGTGCCCGTGGGCAAAGCTGGTGCAAGAATCACCTGTGGCAGAACCACAGGTGGCTCACTGTGGAAAACAGGTCAGTGGATTTGAGGATTTTCTGGTCGCCAGGAGCTGCTGTGCGTGTGCCTTGTGGCTGCTGCAGCGTGTGCCTGGGCGCGCTCCCGGGAGCAAAATTCCCGCCATGGGCAGCAGACCTCCTCCTCCTCCTCATGTGAACCCCGGGCTGCCCCTGGAACGCTATTGATCCGCGGCATTAGTCAGCAGCCTTTCCCGTTGAAGGGCAGCTCTTTCCCATCTCCTGACACATAACTCTGATCCCAGCCTTTCAGGGAGCACACACTCCCCACCTGCTCATCTGGGAGAAGGTCATTATCCGCGGGCTATTCACTCCCAGTGGAGCATGCAAGAATAGCCGCTTCTCCCATTGTGCTGCCCATGGCCCGGATTGGCTGGCGAGTGTGGGAAACGCCACCGAGCCGCAGACCCACACACTGGCCCCTAGCTCGGACAGCATAAATACTGGGCATAGGCAGCTTCCAGCAACACGTTTCTCCTGGATTCCACTCCAATAACTCTCTGCTCAGGACAGATGGCTCCCAGCACCGTTTTCTTGGAGCCAGACAACCTGCTGACACCAAAGGAGAAAAACAAAGTAAGTGCAGGCACAGCAGAGCAGTTTGCACCAGCTGAGACTTTGCCTCACTCTGTTTAGGAGCGGTGGTGGGCAGCAAACAGTCCTGAAGAGTGTCAGGGAGAGGATCCTTTAATAATGGGTCTCTTTTCCTTTGCTTTTTACAGCTGAGGAAGCCGGTGGTGGAGAAAATGCGCCGGGACCGGATTAACAGCAGCATTGAGCAGCTGAAACTGCTCCTGGAGAAGGAGTTCCAGAGGCATCAGCCCAACTCCAAACTGGAGAACCAACTCCAAACTGGAGAAAGCTGACATCCTGGAGATGACTGTCAGCTACCTGAAGCAGCAGAGCCAGCTGCAGATGAAGAGTAAGTATTGAGTTTTCTTTCAGTCTCTATTTTACCGCAAATCTGTGACTGTTGTATGACTCTTGAGCCATGAACAACTGTTCTAAATTATTCTTTATCCCTCTCCCTCTTTTCTTCCCTTCTCTAGCTGCAGGATCCTTCCATAAAAGCTCCCAGTTTGACTTCAGAGAGGGCTATTCCAGGTGTTTGCAAGAAGCTTTCTATTTCCTATCTCTCCACAAAGTCCGAACTGAAACACAGACCAAACTATTAAGTCACTTCCAGAAGAGCCAGCCATCTGCTCCAGAGGTCTCCTTCTCCTGTGGGAATGCTGATGCCCCGAAACAAGTGTCTTCAAAGGACAGCAGCCCTCTCTGGAGGCCCTGGTAGTCGGGAGAGTCTTCACTGCATGGACCTGTGACAGTTCAGAGGAAGGATCTGACTGCATCTGATAGTCCAGTTCTGATCCTCTCTCCTGTAGGGAATTTTGTTTCCCCTCATGTTTTATTTATGTATGAGAGAATGCCATGCTTTTGACTTTCTTGGGATCTTCTGGCAAAAGTTGAGGTGTTCTGTTTAGTGTCGAAACTGTGTAGGCACTGGTGCAGTGCTTCCCAGGCAGGGCCAACGTCTTCAGAATGAAGGAGGGTGTTTGTAAATGTTACAGTTGTGATGGACAGGAATTGCTGTAGGAGATTTTCTCTAATATTCCCAGTAAGAGCCATCAGCTTTGCTCTGGCTTGACTGACAACTCTGGTTGGTTCAGTCACTCTGGAGGATAAATTTATTCCCTTTGGTTCATGCACACTTGGTTAAAGTATTTTCCTCTGTTTGCTTATCAGTTGTGCAGCATCAAAAATGGGTTTGGTTTTGGTTTGGATTTCTCCCCCACGGCCCTTTCATAGTCCTGTATATACAGTGTGAAGGATAACCAGGAGTTAGGAAACTATGTGGAATATTTCTACTATTTGATGCTTTTTTCAATTTAGAAAAAGAGTATGTTATTGCTTCATGTTAAAGAAAAGTAGTAGGTAACAGGCTTGATTTGTCAATGTTATACATTTTGGGTGTAAGCTATGCTTTTTTAGCATTTTCATTATAATAATGATTTTTATCTGTATTGTGTGGTTGAATTCCTGGTGGATGGTGTTTCTCCCAGTGCTGGGACTGCCCTATGGCTCACCTGCATACTGTGTATGCATCTCTGTGTGTGTAGAGAGCAATAAAATGCATTTGTGTGCAACTTCTGTATGGGTCTCTCCATCCAAAGGATGCGCAGCCGCTTGCACTCCTGAGAAAGGTTAATGTCATTCTGAAGATTTTCATAAAGCTCAAGGAAGTCCCATTCATGTTTACTCTGTATATTCTCATGAATCCCACCATGTGAATCACCCTGAACCTTAAGGAGTGCTCCTGTCACACAGATTCATGCAGAATCCTACTGATCATTTCCTCAGTCACTACCCCTCCTGTACCTAAACCCCTCACCTAAGCAGCAACGTCCTGCACCTGCCTGGAACCTGAGTCCTCCTTCCACACCATATATTCACAAACTTAGCACCCTAAGGTGAGTTTTGAGGGGTGGGTTTGTGCCAGGTTTTGAGGGGTTGGCTTCCCAGGATTCAAGGGGTTTGTCAGGTTTTGAGGGGGTTGTCATAATTTGAGGGGTTTGTCAGGCTTTGAAGGGTTTGCCATAATTTGGGGGGTTTGTCAGGCTTTGAAGAATTTGTCAGGTTTTGAGGGGTTTGACAGGATTTGAGAAGTTTGTCGGGCTTTGAAGGATTAGTTTGCCAGGATCTCAGGGGTATCTCAGGCTTTGAGGGGCTGCTTTGGCACAAATTGAGGTATTTTACGGACTTTGGGCATAGCTCTCTCCCTGCCAAAGCCTTCTCTGCTGTGCCTGGCCAGAAGGGCGGGAAGTGTTGAGGGAATCCGAGCCGCACAGCCCGGTGGCTTCCAATTCTCTTCCCATCACTTTCCAATTCCCTTCCCCTTCCTCCGTGCCTTCTTTCTCTTCGGCGTCCTGCAGGGACCCCTGCTGGGGCACCATGAGGATGGTGAGTGGGGAGGCCAGGGACTGTGAGGCAACAGCCTCAGTGGCCGTGAAGGAACCACCTGAGGGACCATGAGGGTCTCGCCTCACGGACCACGAGGCAAACAACCTTGGTTGCTGTGAGGGGAAACCACCTCAGGGGCCCGGTTCTTGCAGTGTAACCCGGTCCTTGTGTTGCCCTGAGGTCCTTGCTGTGGTGTCAAGTCACACCATTGGAGTGCTGGCTGTGCCCCATGGGCACCGGCTGTGATGCGACCAGGAACACTTTATGATTTTTCCCTGCATGAAAGGCAGAATTGTGTGAGCTCCTGCCTGTAGTGAAGGGTCTCTGCAGGAATAGCTGGGTCACAATGACTATGCTGAACTCCTCTTAGGCAGGGCACAGAGAAAAATCCTGTGTGCTTCTCAATTCTAGGCACAAAACCCAAGGAGAACATGTGTGAAGTTTGTCTTCTTGGCACCTCCACCACAGCCTGCATGTCTGAGACCTGCACCCCACTGCCCAGAGAAGCAGCTTGGATTCCTTTTGAGTGAGCAAAGCTCTTGGGTCTGCATTTTGGTCACTTCCAAACAGCAGCATCCTCCTTTCAGTAGGGCTCTGAGTGTGGAATCCTGTTCCTACTCTTGGAAACAGCTGAACTCCTCTCTTTATAAGCTCATTGACATGACAGATTTAGCTTTCAGCCTGTCATCCAAATTTGTCACTGCACGAGAGGCTCTTGGTGGCTCCAGCAGAGCCAGATCTGAAGCCATGGAGAGTAGCACACTCCTGGTACCTGGGTTTTAGGTGGCACATCTTTTATCTAGAGTAGAACAGCTGACAGTCTGCTTCTGAGGAGAATAATATGGCACTTAAAAGCATTAAAAGAAAGAAGTAAGAGCCAGCTCCCACCTGGATTATCTACCAAGTGAGGAAGACCTTTGGAAGGTGTGATGTGGAAAACAGGGCAGCAGTTCCACTGGCAGGTTCTAACACCACAGTTACTTATTTTCTCACATCACATCTGCAAAACACTTCACCAGCTCTATCTCTGACAGCAATAACTGCAGTCCTTGTCTCTGTGGTTGTGCTGGCTGGTGCAGCTGCCCTCACAGTAAAGGAGGGTTTTGTCTTTACAAACAAGCTGTGGGTCTGCTGATAAGATGAAACTATCACTGAGAGATAAAAGAATCAATGGAATGGATTCCACTGATTGAGTGAAAGATGAAAGGGGGAACACCATAAATTCCACAAGAGTTAAGAATTAAGAGGGGAGTTATACATTAGAGGGGAATCTTAGGTATCAGGCATTCTGGGAAGTCTGTACCTCTCAAATACCTCAGCCAATGGGGAAAGAGAGAGGGACATGCGGCTGGGAAATTAGGATAAAAAGGAGGCTGAGCTGTCCAAAAATTTGAGAGACCCCAGGGGAATGTCCCATGGCCTCTCCCTTTATTCAAATAAACTAAAAGGACTCCTCTGTCTCCTTTTTGGACATACACCTCTGGTGTTTGTGGATTAATTTTCCTGACAGAGGAAAAGTTATGCGCCCTGTAAGTATGAAGAACATAATTGTAAAAGGGTAGTTTTGTAATAATACCCTGAAAAATGGTCTTAATTCTTCATCTGAAAATTCCCTTCACTGCTTGTTTGTGGGACTGTTTCCTTTCCTTTGCAGCAGTACAGGAGTCAGAGGTATTTCTCTTTTTGGGTAATACATTAAAATCTGATTTGAGTGACCCAACACTGGTTCTTGCTCTTAAGAGAGGAGAGGCCTGGGTGTTAGAGTGGAAAAAGTAGGATTTGCTGATAAAAGCTTACTGTTCATACTCTGTGTTTTCCTTTGATGTGTCACAAGGCATGAACAGCACAGCCAGGTTTTGATGTTAATGAGGAGAAAAGGGATCAAACAACTGTTCCTGTGCAGGAAGTTAGTGCCGACCCTGAAGAAACCAGGTCTGAATTGGACATTGTTTGAACTGTGACAGACAGTGGGGATGGTTAAAAAACCTGAGCAAAACCCTTTCTTTTTCTAAATTGTCATGAAGAGAAAGGCAGCTTGAAAATGAAAAGGAGGGTTTGCAAAGGAGTTAATGAAATAACCCAGTGGCATCTTGTGAATCATCAAAGTTTGTAATAGCTGAGTGATCAAGGTACTGGGAGTGTCATCCAGGGCTGGAAAGCTCTTCTCCTTTACATTCCCTTCAGGAGCAGTGGGCTGTGTGGAATGCCTGGACTTTTCTTCTTCCCTCATGGACCGTTGTCACTTGGTATGCATTATTTATTCCACTGTTGCTTGTTGGTGGGAAAAAACTGGCTTTTATTTTCATTTTAAACATTCTGCATAATACACAATGCATTTTCCAAATGCATTTTTGTACAGATTTTTCAGTTTTTAGGAGAAAATAAGATATTGAAGGGAAAAGGAATTCTGCATAGCAAGAACAATGTAGCTTTTAGTAAAGCAAGTTAATATCCTCTGTGTTTACTGTGTCTAAAAAGAAAGTTTTTACTAAGGAAAACACATTCTCTCTGTGAAAGAACTTTCCTGGTACCTGCAGAAGGGAAAACTGAGTTATGTGGCCGTTTACTTTACCTTAAGGAAAAGGATTATTCTGGAATTGTTGCTAGAGGATACAAAGTATTGAGCGAGGGTCTCTAGAAATCATCCACAGCGCAGCCGCTTTCATCAGGCAAAAGCCTTTTTATTGCTAGGTTTTCTAACCTTATATAGCTTTTCCAACCAGGTTACCCCGATTGGTGGAAAGAACAACACCCATTGGTGGGACCAGAGAAAACACACCTTTCAAAGGACATCTGCTCAATATTGTTTTGGGAAATAGTATCTCTTTACCATAACACAGTTCTGGAGAGAAACTGTTCCCAGGAACTATTCCCTGGGAACAGATGAGCCCCTGACAGGCTGAAACTCCAAGATGTTTCACCGTCTGCCTTTAGAGGGACCATCTGAGTGATCACTCGCATCTTCTGCATCTGTATCATCACTCAGAGGTTCATCCACTTGATGACCTTCCTCCTGGTCATGGCCTGTCGTTTCCCTGTTGGCTTGGTTTTGCCTTTGTGATTTCAGGTCAGGGGGGACACACTTTGTAGGTACCTGGTGCACCCCAGTATCTGTGGATACACATGCATACCCACAACCCAAAGTGCTAAGTTTGAATGGGCTTTCTCACTGCTTGGTGGTTAAATTACACACCCAAACCTTCGCTCGGGGCTGATTAGTCTCACCTCAAGCCTGCAAAGAAAGGTGATGGTTCAAGATGACAGGGTTATTTGAATTCTGCAGCACCGTAAGGTGATTTACTGTGTACAAAGCTTTTGCCAATTGACTTTGTGGGGTATCACCCTGCATTCCCTGTTTTTGTTTTTGAAGAACCTGCCTCAGAGTACCATGAGCATGTTCAGCTATGGCTTGGCCAGTTGGATAATGTGGAAATGCCGAATTTGTGTGAGACACCCCACAACTACATAAACTGCCACACTTTCTGTGAGGAGTATGCAGGGCCATTATCAGTTTTCACAGAAGAAGGTGTCTCTAGCACGGCAAAAGCCTGCCTTCAATGGGTAATGACATTGTGCGGTTTTTCCCCAGTGTAAGCAGAAGCCCACATTGCAGAGAAAGTGTCAATAGACACATGCACATACTTGACCCTTCCAAATTTGGCAATTTGGGCAACACCTGTTTGCCAAATTTCCAAGGCCTTGAGATCTCTAGGGTTTATGCCCGCTGGTAAAGGTGAAGCAAGTGTGTGACAGTCATCAGAAGAACTGACAATGTCACTAGCCTCATTTGGAGTCAACTGAAACTGCTTTTCCAATGTATGTGCATTTTGATGAAAGAATTCATGCGATGCTCTGGCCTGTGCTAGTAGATGAGGCTGAGGTGCTACCTATGCAGGGTTAGCCCACATTTCTGCCCTGGAATTACTTTCTGCTATGGAGCTTGGCAGATTTGCATAGCTTGTACCTTGCTCTTGAACCAAATCTGGAAGGGTGATGTCTTGGTTTAGGGCAAATCTGGGAGAAAACCTCCAATGGGGCCCCCGCCGGGAAGCAAACTTATGTGGCTCCTTTCTCTCACCCTCTAACCGGTTCAGGAGGAGATTTCTCTGAGAGAAGTGGAAAAAACCTGTTTATTTCACAGGCACAGCACTACCCAGCACAAGAATGAACAATATCAAATTACAAA